GGGCTCAGCGGCGAGGGCAGCCGAGCCAGCCGCCCCGGTTCCGCAGCATAGTTGGGCGGCTGACTCAGTCCGCCGCGACGTGGCCGCGCCTGGCACCCTCGCCACCTGGCGCGCCTCGGCCCCGAGGCTCCCGGGCCAGCGGGGCTGGGGAAGCCGCGAGGGCGCGTCCGGGAGCGGAGATCGGCGAGAGCATTACCCTCCCGGGAGGGAGCTGCCCCGTACCCCGGCCCCCTTGTCGGCCCCTGCCGGCCACTTGGTTTGTCGGTGCGCACTGATGGGGAATTGCTTGTCAAATGGGCGGAACCTCACACCACTGATTGTTAGTATTTCTCTACTAAGTACTTTCCATGTTACCTCAGCGTTTCCCAGGCTTAAGACTCATCTAGGGTGCTCATTTCCCCAGGCTGCTTCTTGGTCAAGTTGCATTCAATGGGCCTGGGAATCTATTTACCAAGCCCTGTGCTGATTAGTCTGAGCCCATTATATAGGATTCTCCTTCAAGTCGTCCCTGCGAGGAAGGGGTGAATAGCCCCATTTTCCAGTTGAGGAGTCTGAGGGAAAGAGCAACTTGCCCAAGCAGACACAGGTTTCAGGGATGGAGGTGATTTTCAATTTAGAGATGGACTCTTTCTCCTGAGGATTACAGCCTCCTCAGTGGTTTTCTAAATTCCCCTTTCTTGTGTTTTTCCCGTGGAAGGAAGGGATAACCACGTCCTGGTCCTTCTGGCACCTGATATTGTTAGATCCAGGAAGGATTTTTCCCTTGGAGTTGGACCTTGACACCCTGAGCTTGGAAGTGATAATAAGGAGGCAGCAAAAGACAATAAGGGGATCCCTCCCAAAAAAAACCCTTATGTGACCCCTGGAATACCTGAGTCCCTAAAATCCACTTGTTTGCTAATGAGTTCAAAGGCCAACTCCTTATTTTAATTTTTTTAATAAACGTCTCTTCACAAACTGTACTTGAAATTCTCTCCCTTAAAAGATGAAACGTCCTGGGCAGGCCCCTGGCTTAGCGGTTAAGTGCACGCGCTCCGCTACTAGCGGCCCAGTTCGGATCCCTGGCGCCCACCGACGCCGGCTTCTCCGGCCATGCTGAGGCCACGTCCCACATACAGCAACTAGAAGGATGTGCAACTATGACATACAGCTATCTACTGGGGCATTGGGGGAAAAAAAAAGGAGGAGGATTGGCAATAGATGTTAGCTCAGAGCCAGTCCTCCTCAGCAAAAAAAAAAAAAAAGAGGATTAGCAGGGATGTTAGCTCAGGGCTGATCATCCCCACCAAAAAAAAAAAAAAGATGAAATGTCCTTATCTTTCCCCTATACCTGTTGATGGAAGTGAAGCAATTAGGGAAAGGGAGCTTATTATGATGACATAATTGGTGAGGTCCAGCGTGTGGGAAGGTTCCCAGGAACCCAGGCCCTGGGAGGCGTCATCTTCAGCAAAATACCTGCCCACCCAAAAGCACCCTCCAACCCTGGGGAGACTCTGAAGCAGCTGCGACATGCTCCTGAGACACCAAATCTCCCATTTCTTTTGAACCAAATAATTTATAGCAAGCCCTATTTCCAGCAGGAAAGTTTTCTTGACATTTTCTAAGGCTCGAGAATTGTCTTTTCTTTGGATTCCTATAGAATTTTATTTATATGGCTCCTTCCTGGCTTCATTTTAGGTCCATACTCTGTTTTGTTTTCTCTCTCAGAGTTCTCACATACTTTTAATTTATTTTTATCTTTGTAAGCCATCTTAAATCCTTTTCTGAACAAGGTGGGTTATAAATAAAAATTCTGACATCAGTTATGGTATGCCTCAGCACGTCAAGCATTGCTTCGTCCTCAAGTTACTTCTCTTGGTAGATTTTATAAAGTAATTGGGACTTTGTGCCTCTTTGCAACAATATCTTTGTTCCTTAGTTATTATTGTTATTTATTGTTTAAAAAATTTATTGAACACTTACTTTTTGATAGTTTGAGAATACAATGGTTAGCAAATACAATACGACCTCTGGATTTACAGTCTTCTCTGCAGGGAAATAAAGTTAAGGGCTGTAAGACTCACCAGTGATTTCATAATACCTCCAGGAAGTAAAAGAAAAACGTCCCCCCATTGAATGTGTACATTGTTTATAAGATGTATTCTGATTTTAAGAACCTTAATATATGGAGGAAAATAAAATATGTCTGAGAAAATATGGCAAAAACTACCTTTTATTTATTGCTCATTAATCATACCAGGTTCTAGCCCACACCTAAAATATGTTGTACATGTACAACTCTGTGAGTTGGAATTCCTTTTCAAATTTTATAAATATAGCCTTAATTGAGACTTAAAGAGGTTAAGTAGTAAATAGTGGATAAATTGAACACATCTAGGCTATATTCGTAGGCTATAAAATATTTAGCAGGCTTCACAGTGAGGCATTTTCAGAGAGCAAAGTAGAAAGAAAATTTACCATATAAGAATTGTGGTATGGAAATCTGTTTACTGCCAAGGCCACAGGAGTATATATTCCCAGTAATTTCCATCTAGGCTGGATTTATTCCAAAATGACCCACTCCCACCCCTATTTCCTCGATTTTTAGTAAGAGAACAGGTATAGCTATGTCCTTGCCAGACCATGTGTCTTTGCTCCCCCCATCCCTCCTACCCAGAATGCACTCTGCTTATGAGAGAGGCAATTTGAGAGAGTGGAAATCTTCCTCCTCTCCTCCTCTACCCCCTCCTTTTCCTCCTTCCCCTTTTCTTTACATGGTGGAAGCTAACACCCATAGAGCGTTTACGCCTGGTGCCATTCTCAGCACTTTACTTGTAAAAGCTCATTTAATTTTCTCAGCTGCTCCTTGAACAGAAAGTGTTATTATCCTCATGATAAGAAACTTAAGAAAGAGAGGTTGAGTAGGACCATAAGGAAGAGAGAATTCCAACCCAGTCTTCTCCAGGACGCACCATCTGCACTAGATTGCCTCCTAGGGAAAGCACACTGCCGGAACGGACAAGGCCTGTGTTCAAAACGAAGGCTGATCTGGTAGCTTGTGGCATTTTGAGTAAACTTGTTAACTTATCTGAGCCTCAGTTTCCCCATCTGTAAACTGGGAATAATAATACCTAACAGAATTTAATGTGATTACATATCTAAGACTCCTAGAAAATAGTAGTCCCTCAGTACATGTAGTTCTACCCTCTTTTCTCCAATTATTCTTCAAGACTAGGTTCAAATCCCACCTCCCTCTCCAGTCTTTCCAAATCTCTGATGCCCAGAATTATTTACACAACAGAATTTAAAGTAATCTCTCCATTTTTCTCTAAAGGAAAATCTAATGTTATTTTTGCCAAATATAAAATTTTAAGAATGTAGATTAACTAGGCATGTCTATTTATAATATTTATTTCATTTTAAATAAATATTTATAAAAGTAAAATTATATATTAATGCATAAATACTGCCTTTTCCATTCATATATTATAAAATAATTTTACCCAAATTTTAACATGCAACTTTGACATCAATGACTTTATCATGAAAGCCACACTTGAATCATCAGGGTTTTTTTTCCCCAGAGCATGTTATTTTCACTTCTGACTAAATTTTTGATGACACTTAATTTTCTGAATCCTTTTATGATTCTGTCACTGGGAATTGTATTACAAACCACAAGTTCCCACTTGCTTTATATTAAGAAGTTGGTTTTTCTCATTCATCCTAAATATGTACACATTAGTGATCTCCACCAGTTTTTGGTTTCTTGAATGGTTTTTAAAAGGATGCTTGCACTAACATGAAACACTTAAAATTGTGAGGTCATGTCCCCATTAATAATTATTTAGTCTGTTTTAAATATCTTCACCTCCTTGTCTTTTAAACCAATTTTGTCAGATGACCTCTGTGTGTATCCTAAACTAGAACTGACTGAGGATGCTTCAGGCTACACACCCCGCTCCGTACTCCAGTAGTTGACTGGTTCACAGTTCAGATTAATGTACAATAATTGAAGGAAGGTAGAGATCCTGTGACACATAGTAGATTCCATGTGCCAGGCATTGTTACACATTATGAACTCTTTTAATCCTCTCAACAGAGCTGGAAGGTAGATCCTATCATTATCTCCTTTTTTAGCCGGTGAAGAAACAGAGACACAAAAAGCTTATCTCATCTAAGAACTCACAAACAGTAAATAAGGGAGACAGAATTTGAACCCAGATAATGTGGATTCAAAGCCTAATGGCTTAAGCATTCTGCTGTGATGCCCCAGAGAAGCCTTCTAAAGTTTTGGCCATAAAGACCTCTTTTCTCGTGCCTAATGTTTAGGGGAAAATGATATGCCTTATATTCAGGCATATACAACGCCGGCTCTTGGATTTTCCCATTGCCCTTTGTTTTTACCACTGTTGGAGGAGTACCCATGTCAGTGGGCTTTGCATTCAGGATATTGAGCTTTTCTTATTACTGTTTGTATTCCTGAAAAACCATCACCTTTGCAGAATACTCTTGTCAGTCAGCCTTGCATTATGGGTACTTGGAATCTTTTATTATGATTTGAATTCCCTGAAGTACCTATCATAAGGCCTTAGATAAATGTTTGTTTTAT